GACTTTGAAAAAATTTTCACTTTTACTTTTTTTATTGAGATCGTTCTGCGAATTTAAATCATGAAACAGCTGCCCAATGTGAGAACAGTGATAGCTCAGGTTCGGGAAACTGATGGAATTGTACAGTATTGTAAATAAAATCAGGCATGTGAGCGTACTATTTCACCGAGAGCAATGAAATCAAAGATAATTTGAACAGTCAATTGAATGATCGCATGTTTTCGATTTGGTTTCTCCAGCATTTGAAGATGAACTCGCTGTATATTCTTGTTTTCCAAATTAGCGATCAATTTTGATGGATGTTATTTTTTTCAAGTTGACGGGATTGTTTCCCGAATTTAGCGATTGTTACATTAATGCTTCAATTTTTCTCCGATCATTTGTATGATTTTAAAACATGCTTGGATAATTGCAGGAAGCTCGGTGCGAGGAAGCGAATGACCAGTGCTATTGCGAGGTGGCACAGTTGCGCATTCCCAAAATTTGTTAGGAAGCACGGCATCACTGCGCTGGAAATGGCTTATGCTGATAAGCTTCAAGCAGAGAACGACGAGCTTCGGATTAAACTTGCTGGTAGGATTCACCAGGTATCCTGACTTCTCTTCCCCAAGTTTTGAAAAAAACAGAAGAAGAAAAAACAAATTCCCATTTATGATTGGCAGGTTGAAACGATGCAGAAGCAGTTACTTGGCCTCAAAATGGCGGCCAACCGAGTGTTTTATGAGCTACAGAGGACCGTGGATCCCAAGATGATGTCAAAGTGCGCGTTGGAATTTTTGATGGACTTGAAGGTTCGCACGGATCACGCCAATTGAAATTGAACCCAATTTATTTTATTTTTTTTGCGAGGGAAGCAGCTGAGCATTGTTGTGGCATGCAGTGAAACTTTCCTTTCGCTTTTAGTCAGTGTGGAGTCGAGGGTATTCTGTGCATTTGCACTGTGATCGGAGTACGTGGAAAATTGAGTGCGTGATTGATTTTTTTTTTCCCGGTGTGCCTTATCTTCTTCGAACCCGTGAAGCTTCGTCGACGTTAATTGTATTAGGTCATCTGCTGACGCGATGAAGGCGAAGTGAGATTTTTCCCAAAAGGTGTATGTGCTCGACACGCTCGTGGAGAAATTATTGTTTTTTTTTAATTGAATCAGAACTGATTGCCGAATGGTAAAAAAAACACACAGATGGACTAGGAATGGAGTTCAGAGGTTTTAAACGGTGATTTTTGCGTTTAGAGGATCAGAAATACTACCTTAGGAACCTAAATTTATATTGTCAAATTAATCTTAGTTGGGAGTTTAGTAGAACATCGGGTTTTATTGGGTGTGAATTTCGACATTGGGTGAGGCCAAGTTGTTTTACAGTTTCTTCTGGTTGAGTAAGTCAATAACGGCTTAGGTTGGATTAGTTTTGTTAAATTATGAAGTATGAAAAAAGATGGGGATTATTTATGCCTAAGGTTTTGGGTTGTGATATTTGGACTGAGTTGCGTACATTGCATCAATGGCGTACCGGAAATTTCAATTTACCGCTGGGGAGAAGATTTACCGAGTATTGATATTAGTCTATGTGGTCTTTTTATCAGTCGTGTGCTGTGGAATCTCTGCGAAGGAACTAATGATCTTGAGGAATATCATTCCATGGATTCTCGGAAGTATTCCTGATTCGAGCGATTATTATTTTTTAATTCTGGATTTTTTTTTTTCGAGCTTGTAGCACTCAGCAATGAGAGTTTTCACGCGCCCGTGTGTTCAGTCGCTGTTTTAATGAAAAGTTGATTTCTGGTTGTCGAAAATCTCGACGGAAAAGGATACTAAAGATAACTGTGATTTCCGTGTAGCGTTTTGCGGTGTTTCGCGATTTTATGCAAAAACTTTGGATTACTCACTGCCTTACGGGCATGTTTGCTTTTTCATGAGTGATGGCGGCGGTTTTTTTTTTCTTTCTCGAAATTCCTCGAGATGAATTGCCGATTAGGATAAGTTCCATTTTATTTTTTTTCAGTGATGTATCGCGTGTTTGAGTTTGAATGCTGATTGGGGCTCAGGGTGCGTCGTGTATTTATTTGTTGTGGAAAAACCAAAAATCGGTGCCCTGAAAGCTTGTGCTTTTTCCGTTCCTAAGTTCAGTCAAGTCAGTCGCTGCAGTCCATTGTGTGCAATGCTTTTATTATGTTTTGTTTTGTTTTGATGCCACCGTAAATTCGTTCAATAATGACGAATCGGCGAAAAGAATTTGTGACGGAAAGAAAGAGAGAGAGAGAAAAGGTCCCTCGGGATTCCTGCTCAAGATATTTTATATGGGAGAAGTATTTTCCTTTTATTCTTCCGGCGTGTCAAGAAATGGGCAATTCTTTGCTGATTGGTTGATTTATGTAATCCGTTTGATTTCTTGCGCTTTGTGTGATTCGAAAGGGTATTTTTTTCCCTTGTGTTACCAAGAGATGCGAGAGAATTGCAATTTGTTCAAGGGCCCGCAAAGAAAGCTGTGTTTCATTGATTTGAGTTTCTCCTCACCTTTCTGTTGTGCATTGCCTACTTTGGGCAGTTTGGTCAGTTCAGGTTTTATGTAATGGAAAAAGCAGACTTTTCTGCAATCGTGAATGGAATGAGGTTTTATATATGAACCCCGTGACAGGAGATTTTTTATTTGATAAACCTTGAAACAAGTGGATGCTTGTTCGTTTTTTTCATCAAAAACGATAGAGTTGATCTCTCATCAAATGACGAGTTTCAGAGAATTCATTCAAAAAACTTCTGATTAAATCTCAAAAGTTTCATGGGTATTGAAAAAACTGTAATGAACCCAGAGAATGAAAGGATTGGGATTTGAGCGGACCGTTGTTTTGGGCAGAATTTGTGTTGATATAATGTCTGAGACTTGTATAGTTGACACGACTATAGAATTTTAGTTGTACATATGTGGAGATTATATTAAAGCAATAAAATTGATGAACGTGAATTTGGTGAGGTTTAAGAAACCGGTCTAGATACATGGGCACCACATCACCAGAACTCAAATTTACGTGCAAAATACTGTATATGATTGATTCCATTTTTGAAGAATGCAGTTACTATATTGATTGTTGTGCAACAATGATCGTAAATACAGTATTGCCATTAGACATTGATAACTTAACTTCTCAATGTTGCATTTATTTATTTCCTCTGGCTTCAATTTCTTTTACATGCAGGTGGTACCTCGAAATTCAACCTCCTTTTTCCATCATTTTCGCGTTTTGGCACTTGCATTTTTTTAATTTCACGGAGTGTCTCGCAAATTGAACCTAATTTGGCAACAGATTAGGGTTGAATTTCAAGGTACCACCCGTAGTGCAATACATATAGATCTTCATGACTCAAAGGCTTTATAATACATGCATACATAAATAGGCTGAGGTCGTTAAGTGTAAAACATTGCCTTCCATTTCCTTTCAATGAGCATAACATTTATAATAATAATAAAAGAAACAATTTTAATGACGGGCAGCCGCAGGAGCACGTACTCTGCCGACACACGGTGCAGCATATACATGATCACTGTCGTCGTCATCGGGTACTGATGTGAAGCGATGAGGGATCCTTTTCTCGCCATCATCTCCATCATTCTTCTCGTTAAAATAATAATAATGAAGCAATGATGCATAAAAAGGAATGTAATGAAAAATCAGCCATCCGCACCAGCAGCCGAGGATGAGCCGATAGCCTTCATGAGGTGATAGCAGTCCTGCAGGCGTTTCGAGTCTCCGATCCTCTCCAGGGTCCTGGCTGCTTCCACCAGCATGCCGGCCCGCTCACCCGGCGTGGCCAAGAGCGGGGCCGGCAAGTGCTTACACGCCATCATCAGCGCCGTCGCGTGTTCGCGCTCCCCGTGGATCATTTGTTGTTGCTGCTTTTGTTGCGCGCCAGTTCCGCCTGTGGATCATGATGATGAAAAAAAATCAAACACGAATAGACAATACAGTACTGAACACCACGGGTGCCCAAGATACGGCCAGCGGGCCAGATCTGGCCCGCTGGGGCCTTCGAACTGGACCATCTCAAAAAAATTGAGTTTAAAGAAAATGCTGAAAGCAGTGACACACGAAAAATTGACAGTTAATGCAGATTGTTCAATCAAAAATGGACAAGCAAATATTTCTTCACAATCTTCAATGGCCATATGCTTCGTCTTGTTTGTCATGATAAAAAATTTCAGTTTCCAAGGAATACAATCTTCACTACTGGCTAGTCCAAACGCAGAGACTTGAGCAAGATCAATTACTCTGAGAAATTGCCAAGCATGCTGAAAAAAATGGAGGGACTTGTCAGCTTGTTTAAATTCAAAGGAGTCTAAAATTTCAGAGGGGTTAATTCATTTTTATCATTGTGACTCAGAGAAAAGGCTTGCTTTTTAATGTGGCCCTTGACCAATTTTGAGTTGGGCACCACTGCTGTACTATGACAATGATGATGCATTCCCCATAAATTTCTCTGGAAGTCTTATTCATCATCTCTCTCTATATATATACTGTATATATCTGCAGGTACTGCACTCTAC